AGACAGACCGACCGACAGAAAGACACTGACTGACTAACAGACATTGGATAATCAGACAGACAGACAGATCAATAAAAAAAATGGACAGTGACTGACGAACTGAGRCAGACAGACAGACACAMAATTAATTTTTAAGGTATRATAGACCAAAAATAGATGATGTAGTTGTAACTACCTTCACAAGAAGCATGTTTTTACGCTCATCGAAYCCTTTCTGCAGTCCACACAAGTATCTTATGAGTTTTGTCTTTCCACATCCAGTCTCTCCCATCACCACCACAGGGATACCACACCTAGAAAGAAAAAAGAAAAAAACCCTTGTCAAATGTGTCCAGTCTCCATCAGGGATACCACAAATACTTCATATTCATTTGGTTTTTAACCTGAAGCGCATGTGTATTGCAAGCATTTTCTTTGCATTGTCTTCTGTCAGTTCGTAGCTATCATCAGGATCACGCGGCCATTCAACACCCAACACCGCACAAATCTTTTGGATTTTGTCTCCTCTGTGATAAAAAGCAGAAACAGTCATTTGGTTAACTGTGAAGAGTAATAATAGTAATGATAATAATAATAATGATCATCACCACCATTACCACCATCATTACTAACACCACCATCGTCATCGTCATCATCATCATCATCATCTACACCATTACCACCATCCTTCTCCTCCTCATCAACACCACCATTACCACCATCATCATCAACGTCACCATCACCATCACTTATAACATACTTATTCAGTTGTTCAAAGTCTTCATCGAAGTTGACCCGCTGTACGTTAAGTCCAGTTCTGAGATGCCTTGTCATCAGTTGTTGCTCGATCATCTCTCCCGTCGAAGGGTTGATTAAGTTACCATCCGGATCAAGACGAAACCCAAGGAAGGTGAATGTTTGATGGTCGGGATTGAAGAACATGTAGGGATGAGGACTGCAAAGAAAGACACACACATTATCACGTGGTAGTCAGTATATCCCAGACCCTTCATCAAGTTTCTCAGACGAAARCATTTGCGTTGTTATATTGGAACATCGTTAAAAAGCAGTTGAGCTTAGAGTTTTTTGTTTGAGTTTTGTGTCGACCCAGCTACCTTGGTGGTAGGACAGCTGGATTGGGGATATAAAATATCAAATGAGCGACTACGGGAAATAACAAAATCCAAAAAATTGCAAATTGCACCCTGTATCGGTAGCTCATTATTCAAAGTCGCCACTGACATATAGAACAGACGTGCAGAACATTGTTAATCAGCAATTTCCTAGCATGAACTTCTGTACATGACAAAAAAAACAAGTATAAAAAGACTGATATTGAGTTTTGTATGAATGATGTTACCCATACCTGCTTTCCCATCTCCGACGAAGTTGAAACTGAGCAATGTCTGGCGGTTCATCGTTTGGAGCGTCATCATCAACAACAATGTCACTTAGCGAGCGAGTCGAGAAATCCTGATAAAGTTCAAAATATTTATATACCTCTCTTTCTACTTGCATGGAGTGCATGCAAGAAACTTCTTAATAAGGCGCGCGCAATGTAAATTCCTAATTGGGCTATTTTTAGTAACCGGATGAAGTTTAAATTTTGCCTTACCCTACTCTCGTGCGTCTGGTGGTGGTGTTACGCAAGACGATTACATACAAAATTGTTCTAGTATAACATGGCGCGCAGTTACAATTTTTAACGATATTTTGTTGTGGCAACATGTTGCAGGTTTTTGAACCACCTTTAAAACTCGCGGCTCACAACATTGTTGCCATCAATTTTTATTACCGCGCACGCTATGTTACAATATTGCGCTAAAAATCGTCTCGTGTAACATTAACTTAAAGGGAAAACGTACCAGCTACTAAATTCTATTTTTTCTAATGCTACCCTTAAAAAACATGGACAATATTCTTAGCACAATACCTGAGCCATGAAAGTCATGAATCGAACCACAAACATGCGAAATCCTTCCAAGGTATCCGCTACGTTTTCCATCTGACAGAATACGCTTTGTTCAAAGTCTGTTAACTGATAGTTAAGAAAATCCACAAAGTGTCGTAGYTCTGCCCAGGACGGATCGGTTACGCCACAGTATCTCATGAGAAGAGATAGACAATTTGCACCACCTTCAGCAAGTTCTTCTGGTTCAAACTGAAACTCGTGAAGGATCTCGGGAGCAGTGTCATAAAGTCGTAGGTATTGATATACACGTTGTATTGGCTCGCTCTGAAACTGGCCTTCATTAAACGATGTCATGGAACTGTCTGAAGCTGGCAGAAAATTAAGCAAACGCGTATGTGAGTTGAGTTTGTTTGATGTGTTGTTCTCTCCCTTGCCACAAGGTTTTTTCTCCGGATTCTCTGGTTTTCCTCCCTCCATAAAATTTAACATTTGAGTTGAGCGTTGTGTGTTGTAAATATAGAATGTAGTGGTAGTGGAAGTGAAGGAACCTAACGAAAGAGACCATTACGAGGAGTGATATTGGACACACAAGGAAGCATTTCTTTTGGATTATGATTTGCTAATAACAATCTCAATTACCTGTATCTTTTTTCATTTCATCTAAAGCTTTCATAGGCGTCACGCATGTCACGCGAGGTAGCTCATGATAAARATCGTACAACCGTGCGTACTTGTCTRTAGCCTGTGAACCAATTAATACAAAGAAAGAGTAGGTTAGATCATGACGAACCATATAGATCAGTCATGATATATAATACAACAGACCATGCTCACTCACCCTTGTGTCCTGGGTATCATGCGATGACGTCACTTCTACGATGTACAGGTCACGTGGGTTTCGTTTCCATACACGACCCTTGTTGTCTTGAATCGAGCCAAGGAGCAACAAATTGAAGAGTAAAGTATCAAGTCCGTGTTCCACCTGACCGTGAAACGAAAATAGTTTAGTTTGATGACATTGTAATTGATTTACGCCGATCAGGCACTCAGAGCAAGGGACTGGTAAACAGCCCCCCAAGCAAGAAGCTCATGTAAGACCGCTGATCAGAAAGTGTCTGAGTTACAGAAGCCAAAACCCCGACTTGTGGGGCTGGCTCTGTTGGTTTCGTAAGAAGAACCAACAAACCAACAAGCGTTAAGAAGCCGCGCAATAACTATTGCAAGTTATAGTTACATCATCATCATCATCATTATCATTATCATCATACCGAGGGAGAGACATCAATGTGGAATATCCGGGACATTGGGACATCGGTCTTGAGTGAGTAAGGAAGCAGGACGCCAACTGTATCTGACAAGTTTGCTGTTTTCCCATGTAATGGAACGATGACGTATGGAGTCACGTGTTCTTYCAAGAGTTTCGTCACAGTACTGTTGTTTGTGATGCTATCAAGCCTCTTAGAATAGTCTTCCACTATCAAACTCTTACCAGTTCCCGCGCGGTCCGAAGATATTACTCGAACTGAAAGCCTTGAGATAAAGAGGTTATTTTAATAATTTCTAATAATTAATAAGTGATAGCTAGTTAATAATTATTAAAAATATTATGAATTTAATTGATAATAATAAATGAAATAATTAAAAATCATTATATTATATAATATTACCAATTACTAATAGATATTTAAATATATGATCAATTAATAACTAGAGAAAACAATAACTATAATCATTAATAGCAATGAAAATTAATAGTTATCAATAACAAATAATGTTAAATTACTCATTAATAATTCATAAGCTTATGGTCCAATTGCAGCCACCATACACGTCACGTGCATGAACCTTTATACCCGATAAAGTCCTCTTCATTAGTATTCAAGTGATTTTATATAAAGACACATGTGATCTTTATATAAAGACCACTCGAATACTATGAGGATGACTAATGATCTTTGACTAACGTGCCTGTCTTTGCCTTGGCACGCAATATCCAACGTGTGGGAGCTTCTATTGAATCTGGTTGCGCATGCCCGTGACGTCAAATCTCTATCGAAGTATAAAAATCCATGTTCGTGACGTGTATGGTGGCTCCAGTTGAACCAAAATCTTATAAATTGTTCATGAGTGTTTTAACTGATAAAACACTCCTACTCGTTTTTTAAACACTACATAAAATAATTAATGCCTAACAAATAATGATAATGAATAAGCAAAAAAACTTCCATTATAAACCAAAAATTGATAAAATCTTGGTGCTAATCAATCAAGTYTTAATCTAACCTGTCTCGACTTTCTACATGAGCAGCAGGTATCCAATCAATGCGATGACCCTGATAAACCACTGGTTGAGGTCTTGGAGCAACGAACTGTTCCTGTAAATAGTCTGTCACTTCAGATGGTCTTGGACAGCGAGGAGCTCCAGCGACACGATACTCATCCAGGGCAGACACGATGTGTGACTTGACTTCCTGTTCATTGCTACATATCACAACAACCTTGTAGTCTAATAACAACAAAACTTGTTAATTTAAAGCTCCGTTCGGACCTTGACTGCATCAGCTTGACAAGATAAATATATCATCTACAGAAAAACCCACAGATAATATTTTATCATGCCAAGTTCACACGCTGTCAGGGATTGGCTGAAGGTTCACAGCCAATAAGKGGAGAGATAAATGTATTAATAATAGCTCATTGCTTATAAGTATACTTCTTTCTGAGTTATTGTAACTAATTTGAAGGCGTACCTTCGCTGGCAGGGTATTCACGCTTAGCCAGGTCATAGAAGCTTTGAACGGCTTGTTGGCTGACATTATAGCTTAAGAGATCTGCATTCACCAGACAGTAGAACTTGTCACTCGTGTTGGTTAAAACTCGACGCCATAACAACTTTACCTTGAGATACAAACATGACCAAAATGTTATTTTATCCATACAAAGCAGTGTCAAATAACATGTGTAGCTGTTCGTCAATGAAATAAGTCGACACAAAAAGGTAAATGCATATACAGTCGAACCTCACTCTCAGAGAATTGTCATCAAATGACCGCTAGGGCCAAAGGCCGCATTCACTATGTATGCCAGAGGTTGTKGGAGCAAGGTGATATTTTTCAATACTCTTGAAATTTTGGTCTCCCCCTCTTCATTCTCTGGGTAAAATTTGAGATGCACCTATTTATTTCACATTTATATCCCCCTAAATTTCAGCCCTTCTCCCTGGTGCATATAATGAATATATAATATATAGAGGTTGGTTACTAGACAGAGGTCTTTTACCTCTTCCAAAGTGGTGTCTTGAGTGCAAATCAACACTTCATGGCTTGATGGAAGTCCTTTACTTTCCATGTAAAGTCCAAGSACAGTAGCTAGAATGTCTCCTGAAGAAAACCGCCCAAACTCTCTAATCAGTAATTATCGACAAATATTACTAGTACTTCCCCGCAATAATCCGTAACAATTATATTCTACAAAACGATCGTACAGCTTCGTTCTGAAAACGAGGCCGCGCGCCAAAATCAAAACCATCATTGACAAAAACTCTTGGATGGKAGTCGAAAGCTCTGAAGTGCTTTTAGATTATCGCTGGCTATGAGAAAGAATAACTGTTTACTTGTTAATCAATGCCCCAGCAAAAGAATGTATATTCTATAATATGGTTAGTTTGTCAGTTTTTTTCCATGATCAAAACGACACTTGTTGSACTCACTTTGAGGAACAAGAAGCAGGTTTGGTTTTCCCACCGTCAGGTAGCCGGGAAATGCAAATTTGTTTTGGTCCTCTGGAAGAAAAAGAAGAACGAGAATTGGAATTGGACTTTCCGAGGTTGYGCGGGAAACTGGTAACTAGTAAGAGGCGCGCTGAATCATGGGAATGTTTAGGGYGGGATGCCATTTAAGMCCCATGATTCAGTGCGMGTCATACTCGTTAACAGCTTTGCGCGCAATCCCGACAAGGTCAAGATTCTTGTCAGTRAAATACTATGCTGAACGTTGTATGAGAAAATAGGTTAATGAAATTGAACTACAGTACAGTACTTTTCAGTTCCTGATTATACCTTGAGTCGAATCTTCAGCCAGACAGTCCAATAAAGTACTCAGTTCCTCAAGGCTTAAGTACAAACCACCTAATGTCTGATCAAGTTCAGCTGCAAAGTTACGACTTCCATCTTCTGTTGTTAGTCTTGGGAAAAAAAGTATAATATATACAGTATAATATATATAGTATAATATGAAAGTGTTTTATGCCGGTAAATAGTCAGTTGTATCATGGGTAAATAATGACGTAATAATTAAATTCAACGGCTGACACAGATGAAAGTCACGGCACGGATAACTCACGATTGAATTGGAATAGTTTGGTTGGGTTTTGCGGGGGGAGGAGACCTAGAGAACCTGAAGAAAAACCCTCGAGTCAAGRRRGAGATGGGAATCGAACTCAAGACCCCAGGGCWCTACACCACCCTTGATCCAACCTGCACGAAGATCCAGGTGAGATACTAGGCTTAATGACATAGCAAACTGAATATCAAACTATTTATACCTGTCAATATCCTTTTTCTGCTCTTCATCATCTAGTGTTACATCTGGGACACTTTCTTGCGGAAACAAAGAAGCGTATTTAGGGWTTTGGGMTCCCTCATCACACAACTCTTGAATTTCATCTTCTTTTCCATTGTTTTGTAAACACCACATCAAGAGATCTGATTCCTCACGAGGACAGTCACACGCCACGATAGCTGCTAATGCGACTTCTTCAGGAAATCCAAGCTCCTTAACATTATTGAAAAATTTCTCGTATCTTTTTCTAAGATCGCTATCTGGAATTTTTTCTTCTTCTTCTGTTTCCGATAAGGGATGGATYTCTTCAGGAAAGTCAACGTCAATGTCAATGGCAATCAATGCTTCTYGTARTRARCGTGCAGTAACACCTGGAAGCACACTATCGAGGAGGGTATATAACTGAAAKGGAAATAGAAAATAGTTCAATAACAAAAGAGAAAACCATTTTATCAAACTCTTTGATAACCTCCTCTGGCTGGTTCATCTKTCTCGTGTTTATGGTGTGTGTGGCTTATATTTTAGCAACGAAATRAAGTCAAAAATGCTTGCTCAGCATCATCACATAAATAAAATAATTGAAAAAAGACGTTAAATGAAAAAGACAATGACAGCAACATCAGCATCATCATCATCACCTTACCATCAACCTCACTTCAATCATAGCAGCAGCAGCATCACCATCACATCATTGCCTTACCATTAACCTCACTCCAATCATAGCGGCAACATCACCACCATCATCATTACCTTACCATCAACCTCACTTCAATCTTAGCAGCAGCAGCAGCTTCACCATCACATCATTACCTTACCATTAACCTCACTCCAATCATAGCAGCAACATCACCACCATCATCATCACAGGCAACAGCAACAGCGTTATCATCATCATAAGCAGCATTTTCAACATCATGTCACTATTACTCCAATCCAATCACCAATCACTCCAATCACCATAGCAGTATATCATCCATCACCATCACCATCACCATCACCATCACCATCACCATCACCATCACCATCACCATCACCA